AAAGACCTGGGTAGGGAAGGAACCCAGGTCCCACCTCAGCAGCAAGTTCTGGAATATGTGCCAAGTCTCTTGCACCTTTGGGTCCTTGATTTCTTCTCCCATTGAGGAGTTACATTTGCTGCATCTATCTCAAGGTTTTTATGAAGATAAAACAAGATAATAGCTGGGAAAGTGCCTCACAGACTTGAGTGATGTACAAATAAAGGACTTATGTTATTAAGATGGTTGATAATGTCGAGATTTTTTTCATAATTCTCACGTTGTCCTTTGATTAAATTTAAACAACTCCAGCTGACTCTTTCTGTCACTTGCTAGTTTGGGCCTTGGATCTGCAAGGGTAATTTTCTGACTGTGAGGAAGTTATCCCCAGACTGGATCTGAGATGGAGTTGAGGTGCACCATGGCTTACTTCTTTCCTCCTGGTGGAATCATGGGATGTAGGAAATGACTTGTTTTCTAACTGCTTCCTTTCCTATTATGAAATGACTTTGTTCAGTAGCTCAGTTGTGTCCAACTCTTTTCAACCCCATGGACTGCAGCACACCAGGCTTCCCTGTCCTTCACAGTCTCCTGGAGTTTGCTCAGACTCATATCCATTGAGTTGATGGTGGTACTTAACGATCTCATCCTCTGTTGTCCCCTTCTCCTCCTGCCTTCAATCTTTCCAAGCATCAGGGTCTTTTCCAATGAGTTGGCTCTTCGCATCAAGTGGGCAAAGTATTGGAGCTTCAGCTTCAGCATCAGTCCATCCAGTGAATATTCAGGGTTGATCTCCTTTAGGATGGACTGGTTGGATCTCCTTGCAGTCCAGGGGACTCTCAAGTGTCTTCTGTAACACCACAATTCAAAAGCATCAGTTCTTTGGTTCTCAGCCTTCTTTACGGCCCAGTGGTCACATCCGTACATGACCACTGGGAAACCACAGCTTTGACAACATGTGTTTCTTGTATGGAGAGTGTGCTGTGTCTCTAGCACTGCCCCAGATCCTGTGGGACTTGAGGATGAAAAGGCAGCTCACACCTCAGGGTGTGTGATCGATGGTGGGGTAAGGGAAACACAGTCAGGAAACAGTGTGGGGGAGTTTGTACAAGTGTGTGCCTCACACGGCCCCTGGGGGATGAACCGTCTCACAGAGGATGTACTGGGATTTGAACGGGGCCTGAAGTGTTAGGATTTGCAACAGGAGTTGGATTCTGATCAGGATGCAAGAGGGGGAGCAGTACAGGTAAGTTAAAAAGAGACAGGTGTCACCTCCATGTATTTCGGGAGGCCTTGGACGTGGCCCTGAGTGGGTGGGTGGTGGGGGGAGAGAGGGAGCAAGCACAATGCTGAGGGTGTGTGTGTTTGCATGCGCACTTGTGTGCATGTACAGGGTTGGACCATGTGCTAAGGGGCCTGAAAAGCCAGGTCTGAGAGTCGTGAGGCAAACTGCTCAAGAACCATGGAAAGTTCTAGAGCAAGGGGGCGGCAGTGGGACAAGGGATGGAGGCCGAGAGAGAGCAGAGCGGAAGGCGGCCGCTGAGCTGGTGGGCGGGGGTCTGGGTGCACCGAGAGGGGGTTTGCCAGCAGGCGTCTTTGGGGCAAAATCCGCAGAGTTCAGTGGCACCTGAGTGCAGGGATTCAGGGAGGAGGACGAGGAGCTGAAGCTTCCCGCACTTAGATGCGATCACAGCATGAGCCGGTAGAGGTGCCAGCGTTTCCCTTACCCACTTTCAGGATTCTCCGCTCTTTTGTACCACGTGGGTAGCTGGTGGCAGCAGCTCATTTTCGGTGCTTAAATTGTTCCAAGTTCATTTATGAAAATTTCATTTTTAGCTAGCTAATTGATCTTGAGAATCTAAATTATGGATGCGGTCAGATGTAAGATTAGCTTCCTCACCATCATGTTAGAGGTTTTCCAGAGCTTTCAGGGTCGATTTTATGTTTACTCTTTGACAGCAGATTGCACCCTGCTTGTTGAGTTCATTCACCAAGGATTTGTGGGGCGCCTGCTGGGTGGGACACCGGGTCAGGTGCTGGGGGATACAGACCACTCTCGGGTCTGGCCGGCTGGGCTGCACTCCCACTGCGCTGGGAGAGGGTCACACCCATGGGTGATGCGGCTGCAACGTGCTCTGCACGTCTCCATGGAGCGGACTCTGGGTCCCCTGCTGTGATGAGTGCTGAACCTGAAGCTGAGATGGAGGGCACGGCTCCCGCAAGGCTTCTGCATCTGCTCTGGATTGCTGATGCTGGGCTTCCTTGGTGGTACAGTGGATAGGAATCCGCCTGCCGTTGCAGGGGACGCAGGTTCGATCCCTGGTCTGGGAAGATTCCACATGCCACGGAACAAGGAAAGCCCATGAGCCACGACTGCTGAGCCCGAGCTGTAGAGACTGCGACCTGCAGCTCCTGAAGCCAGCGCGCCTAGAGCCTGTGCTCTGCAATGAGCGAAGCCGCCACCACGAGAGGCCTGTGTGGCCCAACCCTGGCCTCAACTGGAGAAAGCTGTGCAGCAATGAAGACCCAGTGCAACCAAAGAAAAGGATTGCTGACACCTTGCAAATCTGGGGTTCCCAGGGCCACCTGCACTTTTTCAGTTAAGTACAAATTTGGGGGACCCAAAGGACTCCCTCAGGTTCACCAGTCTTCTAGAATGACTCACAGAACTCAGGAACGCTCTGTACTTGGATGACAGTTCTAAACAAAAAGGGTGCAGATCAGAGCAGGCCAAAGGCGGTGATGGCAGGTGAGGTTGGGGGCCCAGGGGGTCCCAGATGCGGGGTCTTTGGTCCTCCCCCATGCCCCATGGTGTCCTGGACGCCTCTGTCTTCTTGTGGTTATATTACACAATAGGACTTAGGAGTGTTTCCAGCCAGGGATACTCACCCACGTCCTTGGTGTCCAGAGTTTTTATGGAGTTTGATGATGCCCACCTGCATGACTGGCCCCCAGTCTCCAGCTACCCCATGAGGTCAGACTGTGTTCAGAGGTCAGACCTGAGGTCACCCGCGTGGCCACGGGCGGAGGCCGGACCTCTGTACGGATGAAGCCCCCTCTCCACTGCACAGCTGCATCCTCAGCACGCGTCAGAGGAGGACCTCTGTCTGCAGGGCAGGGCAGGGCACGGGGCTGAGACTGGGCTGGCCCTCCTGTAAGCTGTCCTGTAACACAGTTCCCCAGCTCGGCGGATGTGACGTGCGGTGGGTGGCTTACAGCCTCTCCACTCATCCTGCTCCTCCAGTATTAACTGCTGCTTCAGTAGCTGCTGTTGTGAAGAATAATCAGGAGGAGAGTTTGAACGGCTCTGAGGTGAACGGTTTGTCCTTACTCTGCACGTTCCCCTCTTCGCCTCCCTCCCCAGCCTCCCGTCCGCAGTGCTTGGCCTCCTGTCCCCACAGCTGTCATCCTCCTGCTGGAATCTCGGGGCCGACAGGGGAGCCCGTTCTCCAGCAAGCCTGGCGAGATGGAGGCAAGCAGTGACGGTGCATCAGGCTGGCTGCCCCAGTCATGGAAGGCTCTGGCTTGGAGCTCTAGGTCAAGGTGGACCCGCCTTGGCCCTGCAGCTCAGTGGAAACCCTGCTTCTGCGAGAGCTCCCCTCTCTCAGTGCTCCCTCCCCATTCTGGTGGTGCCTGGTCTCTGAGTTCCTGGGGACCCCACGTCCGAGCAGGTGCCTCCATCAGAGCCCACATTGTCCCGCTGCGCTTCCCCTGCAGAGCCTTCCTGCCCTCCTCTCCCGCCCCTGTGGCTTCCCTGTCTGATTTGGGAGCCCAGGTGACCCCCTTAAAGGGTCTTCACGGTGACAGCAGGGGGCACTGTGGCTGATGCTTTCCTGGGCAGAACCACAGGAAGAGCAGGAGGGACCCCGAACATATCATAATTGCACAGATGACCATTCCCCCAAGATGGTGCTCGAACCTAGGACCCTTCCTCTGCCCTGATGTTCAGAGGCAAAGACGGCTGGCTGCTGACATGCCATGCCTTAGCCAGACAGATGGCTCTCCAGAGATGGCAGGGCAGCCAGGCTGTGCCAGCCAGGGCACCCCTCACGTCGACTCACCTGAGACAGCACTCCACCTGCCTACAACAGCCGGAGGCCCCCTCAGCCCGCTCACCCATCTTAATTCCCACCTTCCTTTGGAGATGGATGCCTTAAAAATGAATGCTCATTAAGAAGAGATAAGAGGTGAACAATGATTTGAAACTTGCTCCAAAGCAGCTCTGATGATGACATTTAAATCCTCCGGTCTCCAGGAAACTTGAAAAATATTGTCTCTAGCCCTATAATCTTTGGCTTTAAATTGCAATTGTTTTTGTCTCTTTTCCATCAGAACAATTTGGACCTAATAATTATGATGGCTTAAATAGTTGGAATAGTTGTGTAACTCATTAAGAGTGTGACAAGCTAAGCAGCCTTTGAGAACCCTTTGCAGAGACAGTCCTTGGCAAGTTTCTGAGAACTAGTTTTCAGTGGAAATGGTGGTTTCTAAGGAGCCTGGTTTGTGAACTGGAGCTGACAGTCACAGCTTAAAACCCTCCCCACTTTATGGAAGAGGCACAGTGCACAGGTTCTGATAAATTAATATTCTTAAATCACGTGGTTACAGAATCAATTGTATAATAGCACAGAGGTGCAGAGATGTTAGCACTAAATGATTGTTTGCAGCTGCTCATTTCTGGAACTGCATCAAGCTTTCCTTTTTTTAATAAAATGTGGGAAGTGAAAGTGTTAGTTGCTCAGTTGTGTCCGACTCTTGGTGACCCCATGGACTGTAGCCCAGCCAGGCATCCCTGTCCATGGAATTCTCCAGGCAAGAATGCTGGGGTGGTGGGTAGCCATCCCCTTCTCCAGGGGATCTTCCCCACGTGGGGATGGCACCCAGGCCTCCTGCACTGCTGGTGGATTCTGTACCATGTGAGCTCCCCGTGGAAGCAGACATATTTCTATGCTTGGAAACCGAGTGCATGGCCCACCCTGTCGCCTCTGTGACCCCATGGTGCCCTCTGGTTTCCTCCACAGAATTTTCGGTCATGAAGAGGAAGAGAGGCAGGCCCAAGGGGTCCACCAAGAAGCCCAGCCCCGAGGAGGAGCTGGCGGAGCGCGGTGCCCTGCCCGGCGCAGACGGCTTGCGGGCCCCCGAGGAAGGGGGCAGCCTAGAGTGTAGCAAGTGCTGCCGCAAGTTCTCCAACCCGCGCCAGCTCCGCAAGCACATCTGCATCATCGTGCTGAACCTGGGCGAGGCGGAGGGGGATGCAGGTAAGAGCGCACCCCTGCAGGGAGCGCCGATGGCTTGCACCCCCTTTTTTTAAACTAGCTGTCTCATTTGAACTTTTTTTTCTTTAAATATTTTAAAAATAATTTTATTTACTCCTCTATTTATGGCCGTGCTGCGTCTGCATTGCTGCGCGGGCTTTTCTCTAGCTGCGGAGAGCAGGGGCTACTCTCTAGTTCGGGTGCAGGGGGGCTTCTCATTGCGGCGGGGGGCGACCTGCTCTGGAACCAGGTGTGGGGCCCTGTGAGCAGAGAGGCTGGGGTTGGGATGCTTGAGCCCCTGTGAGTGACCTTGATGGCCTTGACTGTGGCCGGCGGTCTTTGAAGAACATACAGGATGCCAGGTGCTGCCTTCAGGTAAGAACTTAGCAAGGCTTTGGCTCTGAAGCAGCTCCTAAAAGAGGCTGAAGAGAGTGTGAGCGTGAGCGGGAACGTCTCCGAGACAACTGTCTAGGAGGAGTGAAACAGCAAGGGCCTCTGCCATGGGCTCTGTTGTCCTCATTTGATTCTTGCACCAGTTTCGAAGTTTTCAAAGTATGTCTAAGAATGTAGGAAGTTCTTACTGTTTTGTGCCAGGATAAGTATTTTACCCCTGGAGTGGAAATGGCAACCCATTCCAGTATTCTTGCCTGCAGAATCCCATGGACAGAGGAGCCTGGTAGGCTACTGTCCATGGAGTCGCAAAGAGTAGGACACTCCTGAGCGACCGAGCACACACGCACATCACATGGGTTCTGGTTCAGGATGTGGGCTTTGGACTTTGGCTGCCTGGATTTGAACGGCAGCTCCAGCACTTACTAACTTTATTCTGCTTTGTTTTCCTCCTCTGTAAAATGGGAATAAAAACAACACTAGCTAATTTGGTTGCTTGAAGGATTCAGTGAGACAGGACTTCCTACAGTGCTTAGAAGAACACCTGCCATTTCAAAAGCTCCCCGTACATGTTAGCTGTCATTGTTCTTCACAGCCCCATGGGCACAGTGCTCCTGCTGTCCCTCCTCTTTCACAGGTAAGAGCGTTTAGACACTCAGAAGTGAGGCAGCTTATCCAGGGTCTTTTAGTTAGAAAGGGATCCTCCTGGCCTTTGAACCCAGACTGTCTGACTCTGAACCCCAGTTCTTCAGTCCTAGAAACACCTCCCAACAGTGCAAGGCCCTTGGTTTGTAAAATCCTAGCATGTTAATGCTGGGAAAGATTGAAGGCGGGAGGAGAAGGGGATGACAGAGGATGAGATGGATGGATGACATCACTGACTTAATGAACATGAGTCTGAGCAAGCTCTGGGAGTTGGTGATGGACAGGGAGGCCTGGTGTGCTGCAGTCCATGGGGTCACAAAGAGTTGTATGACTGAGCAACTGAACTGAACTGAGCACATTATTGAGGGGATGCACCACCTAATGGGCCCCCCAGGTGGCGCTAGGGGTAAAAAAGTCTGCCAAGGAAGGAGGCTGGGGTTCGATCCCTGGGTCAGGAAGATCCCCTGCAGGAGGGCATGGCAACCCACTCCATATGCTTGCCTGGAGAATCCCATGGACAGAGGAGCCTGGCCGGCTACAGTCCATGGGGTCGCACAGAGTCGGAAACGACTGAAGCAACTTAGCACGCTCACAGGCACCACCTAAGATTCATCAGTTGGTGGCCAAGGCTCATTGCCAACACCTGTGCCAGTTGTAGAAGACACAAAGCGCTCTTTCCTTTAAAGAGCTGCTCTCAGGGTGACCACATGCAGTCTTACTAGGCTGCAGGGGCTGTTGCAAATTCAGGCGAGATGAGGCAGTGGGGTGGCAGCCGTGCCCAGACAGAGCTGAGCGCCCGCCATGTGGGAAGTGGAGGTGGGGAGCCCGGTGGTTTCAGGGAAGCAGTGTCTTGCTTCAGAGCCTTGGGTGCTTTGGCAAGCACACAGAAATTCAGCAGTGAGATAGCCCGGGGAGGGAGGGGCAGGAGCTCACGGCACTGTACCCGAGGTGCTGGTTCGCAGCGTGCTTGTTCCTACTGGACGTGGTCGTGGAGGGGCTCCCCGTCCTGTCACCTCACCGTGCCGCCCCACCCCCGTGGCCCTCTGAGTGTGTCTCACGCGCACACCCATGCATCCCGCCGCCGCGTCTCCTGCACTGACCCTTGGTTGTCACGGTGTAGTCAGAGGGGCCAGCTCTAGCCCCTGTTGAGAATCTGTTCTGATTTGGTGCCTCTCCATGGCTGGCTTGTCCTGTCAGCCCCTTCTGGGAGACCCCTGGGCTTTCTGCACGGCTGTGGTTAGAGATCAGAGAATTTCCCTCTTTGGTGACGCCAGACATTCCGGTTCCTTCCTCCTCTGGACTCAGGCCTAGAAGTAACTGAGAGGTTCAGTCCTGTCCGTGGGGGTCCCCTCCGCTACCGCCCAGCCCCCAGGCTGTGCTGCCCCCGGGGTTTCTTCCTGAGACCCAGTCTGGTGGTGTCTCCCCCCCTTAGAGTGCCGGCTCCTCACCTGGGTCTGCACAGGCTTCGCAGAGAATGTCTTTCCTGGAGGTTGGTGGCATCATTTTTCCATGCGATATGATAAGTTTTCCGTTGTTCGTGCCAACCATGGTACATCTAATGAAATTTAGGTTATTTCCTAGTATTTTTTTTGCTGTTATAAATATTACTTGAATAAATATTCCCTTATGTACATGTGTACATTTCTATATGTGTATATATGTGTATGTGTGTATTATTATTTGTTATTTTTATAGGATAAATGCCTGAAAGTAGAATTACTGGGCCAGAAAGTGTATTACATTTTGCCAATATCCCTCCTAGAAAGCACAGGCCAGTTAAGGTTCCAGAAGTGTCCAAAAGTACCAATTGGGTATTATCATTTGTTTTCTTTTTTAACACGTGTAATGATATAAAAAATACTAAGAAGAAAGTGAAATAGTGCACAATTTCACTGCTTAGGTATAATTTCTATTACACTGTATATGAGTGAAGACCTTTCTCACTTCTATGTATGTTCACATACATTTTTCAGAAATTGAGGTCATACATAATGCTCTGTGTTCTTTTTTCATGTAGTTAATGGAGCGGATAAATTTCTCATGTCAGGTATTTTTTCTTCAACACGCTGTTTTGTAGCACTTTCTGTGTTGCAGATACTGTTCTCAGTACTTTTACAACTCTCTGCTCAATGCGTTCTCATGGCGGCGCTGTAGACACTATTATCATCCCCGCTTTATAGACAGGAAACTGAGGCAGAGCCGTCAGGAGTCTGCCAGCATCACACCACCCGTCAGGGCCGGGGCTGTACGCTGAACTCACACAGTCTGGCTGCAGGGTCTGTGCTTTTGATTGCGATGCTCTGTTTTCTGACCAAAGAGTCAGTAAATGTAGATTTTCGTTACTTTTAAAGGCCGCACAGCATTTCACCGTGTGTGTGTGGGCCTTAAGTTTTCTTTCATCGGTCTCCACTTGATTGACATTGAATACTGTTTAAAATTTTTCTCCCTGATTAAAAAAAAGAAAACAAAAAAAAACTATACTCAGGTGTATAATCTTGAACCTACAATTTTATTCTATTATTATTATATTTTGTACTTGTGCCTTTGTTATCTTAGGTAAATATCTAGTAATGTAATTCCCAGACTAATAGGCCATCTTTTAGGTCACATACTTTATGATTCCATGTATATTCAGAACAGATAAATCCATAGAGACAGAGGACAGTTGGTAATTACCAGGGGTTGGAGGAGAGGGGAGGATGGGGAGAGACTGTTTAATGAGTTTTATTTTAAATGATAGGAAAGATTTTGTATCTAGATAAGGGTGGTGGTTACATAACATTATGGATGCTCTAAATGCCATTGGACTGTTCATTCTAAAATGGTTAATTTAATGTTCTGTGAGTTTTATCTGCCTGGTCACTAGTGCACAATCTCATTGCAGATATTCAGGTTTTTGTCTTGTGTGTAATTTGGGGCATTCCTTGCTCATGTCCTTTATTTACTACATTTTTGGATTGCCATATATTCTGAAGATATTTTCCAGTTTTATCATTTGTCTTTTCATGTGTAGAATTCTTTTTCTTTCCTTTTGCATTTTACTGAAGTTTTAAATATTAGCATTTGTCACTACTGTCAAATTCCATGCCCTTCTTATCGTAGCTTAGAACATTACCTATATACCTCAAATAATAAAAAACAACCCTCTATATTTTCCTCTGTTATTCATATGGTTTCATTCTTTATCTGTATTTTTGATCCCTCTGGAAATTGTATTTTTGTGAAAGTTGTGAAGTAAGAGTCATACATATTTGATCAGTAAATACGGGCAAAGGAATGTTCTTCATTAAGTGCAGTTTGCAGATAAACTATTTCAAATCATAGGGTCCACAGAGAATAAGGGTCTGATTCCCAGTCAACCCTTGAGAAAGTAAAACACTTCATATTCTGAAAACAATTAGTGGGATAACAGGGAGTTGCAAAGATGGTAGAGAGAGTCTCGGGCCCTTTACCGTGCCCTCCCCGGCGGCGTCTTGCAGAGCTGTAGCATGGTGTCAGGATCAGGAACCCTGACGGGGAGGTACTGTGTGTGGAGGTCATCACTCATCACCGTTATCCACGTGTAGGGTTGTGTAGGCACCACGGCAGTCAGGAGGCAGGACTGCCCGTCACCATGAGGGCTCCCCGTGTTCCACCTCACAGTCACCCCCACCCCACAGCCATTGATCCCACCCTGTGATTGTCATGTCAAGAATGTTACACCAGTAACATCACAGTGTGTGTGATCTTTTAAGATTGGCTTAGAAACCCCCCTTTTCAAGCCAATCTAATAATTTTATACTTGAGGAAGTTGAAGTGCAGAATGACGACTCTCTGAGTCTCACAGCTCCCTGGAGGTGGGCTGGGTACCACCCCCTGACTCCCTGCTTCTCCCCTGCAGACAGCCCAGCTCTACCATGTTCGCGCCTTAAAGCCAGTCTTTCTTCTTTGTGGATGTTGACTTTGTTCATTTCAGCGTACCACTCTCA